AATGTCTGAATTATCTGATCATCAAGTTCATTTTGGTCACATGTATTGTTGAACCAGTAGGTACACAAAGCCATAAAGTAAAACATTAAGACAACCAAAAAATTTAGCACAGATTAAATTTGGTCCATTAATATAGGCAGTAATATATACATTTACTACAAAATCAGAAGATTTGAACAAAACTAGTAGGATTGGTTGTCTCTGGGGAAGGGCACAAGCTGATTGTGGCTCAAGGGTAGGAAGAAAAAAGTTTTTTTTAAAAGGTATCTTTTTATAACCTTCTCAATTTTAAGTCATGCAATGGTGTTACATAGTTATAAAGTTAATATTTAAAAAGGACTTCAGGCTTGAATTTCATGTACAGTACAGGCAATCCATCATACTCATAAACCAATTACTTAGAACTTAAAATGATTTTTTTCTTATACAAACGATTACAAATGGAGATTAAATTCCCAGTCTGCTGAAGTTGTAAAAGCCTATTTAGTAGGAACTTAACCATGAGTTATAGCAACACTTTTAGAGCAAAAGTTAAAGTCTTTTCACATAAACCAATAGAAGGTAGGGAACATAATTAAAGGCATGGCTCATGGAAAAAGGAGTAATCACTTTCTGGTAGCAGAAGAGTAAAGCATGAAGTATAATAGAGGTGGTGGGTGGATAAGAAGATAAAGTGGTAAAAATAGTCACTAACATTTCTTGAGCATTTACCATACGCCTGGCACTCTACATGAGATAACCACTAGCAAAAAATCAGTATAACTAGACAGCAGGAGAGTCAGTGGTAGTGGATGAGAAGGAAATGGAAATCCTGAGGGTTAATGACTCGAAATAAAGAAGCCGAATTTCCCATGGCCTCACATTCTGGAAAACCAAGTCCCAAACTGGTAGTCCTGTTCACATGCGAAAAATGTTTATATTCTAAGCAGTCACAATTGACAAAACAGTGAGAGTATTTATTTTACTAGTGAAGAAAAACAGTAATATCAAAACAATTTTTTAAACTCACTAACCACAGAATCACTTAAAAGGATCATTTCAACACTGGTGTTATCTTTCCATTCTTTGACCAACACTGTAAATCTCTTACTTTGCAGTTCAGTCATCTGTGTCTTTAAAAATCCCAAAGCAGTGTTCATGAGGGATTGTCTTAAAAATTACCATCAAAATAATTCCTATACTAAGATGAATTATTTTGTGAATTATTTCATCATTTCAGGTGTGAAACCATATGTTTTGTACACTTTCATACATTACTTTGAGATCTATATGGTAAAAACTGGTACATCTAAGATAACATTTTAAGCCTGGAGATATAGCTTTCACCTTAGCAGCTGGAGATTTGTCCATTACTGCTGTCAAAGCCTGAATGGTTGATGTAGCCAAACAATCCAACTGTCCCTGAAACACCTAGAGGGAGAGAAAAAAGCAAGAAATTAACAAATATGTTCAAGATTCTTATTCAGTTAGGAAACCTCTGTTCTGAAAACCTGAAAAAATAATTACTTAACATGCATTGCATTTCTTACAATGAAATAGATTTCTGGAACACTATGACCTGCAGGAAAAGTTACCTATTTAACAAAAAATAAGCCACATGTCAAGAAGGAAAAAGCTACGTTCACTCATTACATTAAAATGTTTTGAGAAAAAAACAACAAGCTTACCACATGCTTTTTAAAAATAATGGACAATCTCAAGAGGAAGGGAGGGAGGTCTATCATCGGAAATTCTATTACGTTTTAATTTCCCTTCAAAACTACACTTGAACTTTCAAGGCCTAAGTTTCATTAGCATGTATAATAAGATGGCTAAAATAATCTTATCCACCTAGTTTCCAGACTGTGTTATAATTAAAATGGAATGTACATATACCAATCAATTAATCGCACTTACAACAGTGAGCTGTATCTATTTTTACATAAAATGAAGAATTTGAGGCAGATACAGAAAATGGAAAATACATCTATAAACAGTGTTATGCTTTTGAGAAGGCAACCTTTAATGCCAAAAAGTTTTTAAGAAAAAATATCAGTTGGCTTCATTCTGTCTAGTGCTCTTTAAGCTTCATTATAAAAGAGATGTGTTAAATTTCAGGGTAATGTGTTTACAGCAAAACAAAACAAAACAAAAATAACATCAAAAATATAAAAAAACTGAATTTGACTATTATATTTATCTTAGTCAACCATGAAAGCATAGCATGAGGACTAGCCCAAGCCCAAGCCCATTGCCATCGAGTCGTTTCCGACTCATGGCGACCCTATAGGACAGAGTACAACTGGATAGCAGCCGTAGCATTTGACCACTACACCACCAGGGTTTCCACATGAGGACTAGAAAGTTATAAAAACTAACGGACCTTAAAATCTGCTTTCAGGAATATATTAATATGACCTAAAGTTAAGTCACTCCATAAATAGGGATTTTTCCCGTCTCCCTCACTAGAAAAGATTTAAGTACAACAGGGACAGCTTAGATCTTTGTAGCTTTATGCTAAACGCTATCATGCTTGCTGTTGTTAGGTGTCATCAAGTCGATTTCTACTCATAGCAACCCTACAGGACAGAGGAGAACACCGCATATGGTTTCCAAGGAGCAGTTGGTGGATTTGAACTGCTGACCTTTTGGTTAACAGCTGAGCTCTTCACTGCACCACCAGGGCTTGGGCTAGTTATTTAACCACCCTGGAATCCTGGTTTTGTTGATATTGTTTGTTTGATTAACATTACTATACATAATAAACACATTATACATGCACAAAACATTATAATATATATTACACATTCTGCATAGAGCAGAATTTCCTATGAATAATATCCGTCTTAGAATTTATACAAGAGGACTAGGCATCAGAGTTCCAAAAGACCTAATTTCACCTACAGTTTGGAATTGTAACATAAACCTCAAAGAAGACTATTATAAGTTTTATTAATCTATGTAAGAAGGCCATAAGAAGAACTAAAACTTTTAGTGATATCTAAAACTGTAAGTACTCTGTAACTGCTATTTCACATACAGAATAGAAAATAATAAATTATCACATCTCTTTTTATACCACAGCTCTATTTATAAACTTGGACATTAAGATAATGTTAATAAAAGACATCAGTGTAAGTAAGCTCTCTCTCATTTTGGGAAAGAAAAATAATGAAGCACATTTTTATATGTAGTTTTTTTTTCCAAAGTAAATTGCTCAAGGTATTGTAAAAAAGCAACATAAATTGTGTATTTCTGCCTAGTTTAAACCCACACAGAGTTGTATTTTTAGAAAAAATAAGTCAAGTTTTATGCTAAATTAATTAAAACTCAAAGAATTTGGCATCCTCTTCCCTTCCTCCAAGATTTGGGTTGTCCATTGGATTATAAACATTACTTGTCAACAAGAAGCAAAGAATCAAGATATTAAAAATGACCATACATGTTCACAAACAAAGCCCTAAGATCCCAATACACCACAGTGCTTAGAAAAGGAAGCTTCCCCACATATGAAGTCATCACCAGGTGGACAGCATTGATAATGAGATCCTATTCCTGTACTTTACATCTCCTCAAATTGAAAAGAACACACACACATTTATGTAAATATAAGATGAAATTCTATTGATCATTTATGTCAATCACCAAGATTTCAATATATTTCTCTTTTAGATGAAAGCAGGTTTTTAATTTTAATTTTTAAATAATTTCCAAATAATTAATGAAGATTCTCTGTTTCCCGTTGCTGTCAAGTCGATTCCAACTCATTTAGAATTGGATAATGTTTGTGTATTTTAAGATACAAGAAGAAAAGTACAGGAATAGTTACTCCCATTGACTGATTCTGGACTTCAGCTGAAACAAGATGCAGGCTTTGTCGATACCTGGTCCTCATTCATTTCTGTCAGTAATTTGTTGGCAAGGTCTTTCTCGTTCTTGTCTGCCACCTTATTGTTAGCGTTTAAAAACAGCTGTTAAAAACAGAGACAATAATGGAGAAAGAATATTAAATTGTTACCTACAAGTGGAAATGAAGTATAAATGGACTTCCATGTCTCTTGAAAAGAAATCCAAGAATCCACTTGCGACGTACACTACTTTTAGAAATTGACTGTTAACTATTAGCTTTTTGAATTACAGACTAATTGTTGATTATTATAATGATTAATTATTGTTAATTATTATGATTGACTAATTATGATCTATTTCTCTCTAGAACTCAAAATTACTAGAATAAGAAACAAAAGCAATAATCAGAATCAGTTAATAACGGGTATACCCTGCTTTTTGAAAGTTCGCTTTACACCACTTCACTTTTATGAAAGACCTACACTAGTACCCATTTTCGCTGACTGAAAGAAATCAGTAGAGAACCGTGCCCATTCTCACTCCTCCCGAGCAAGCAAGACGCTTGGTAAAGTGTGTACATCAACCCATTCACCTCCCTTTTTACATAGTAGCTTCACAAAGCTCCTTCTTTCAAACTCCTCTGCCCTTACTGAACAACCCAGCCACAACCAATCAAATGCCTGGTGATATATAAACCCACCATGCATTGCAAGATCCCATCCTTGACTTGTCATCCCCGGTGTATTCCTCGAACTGTAGGACTCATCCCTTGGCGCGCACAGTTAATATAAATCCGGCTCTTCTGCAGGATTTGAACCCCAGCCCTTCAAGCCAGTCCCATGTGGTACTACCAACTAGTCTACCAGAGATACAATCCTCACCACCACCACCTCTCAGCCTTCCAGTGTGCTTGCTATCTTCCCTATTCTGGTGAGTTAACCTACACTGTATATACATTACTTTATACAGTCTGTGTATTTATCATATCATTCCTGCTTTCACTATATATTAGTGTTATTTTAGGTTTTATGTGTTATTCAGTATGATTTGGCAGGTTATTTTTTGGGTCTGGGAATGCTCAAAAATTTTTCCCATATAAGTTAATGGTAATTGCGTCTTCACTTTACGCCACTTCAGCTTACGAAAGGTTTCATAGGAACCTCTACTTTCAGATAGCAGGGGAAACCTATATTCCTAAATCCTTCAAGAATCGGCAAAGAGAATATCTCAGAGAAAAGAATGAAACTTGCTATTGAGACACACTAAAGATACTGCAGGAAATAACGCATGGTAGGGGTTCGGCAGTCAAGTAAATGTTATTAAACGAACTTTTAAAAGGGTTCTTTCTGGAAATACTTCTCAGAGTCTCAATAATGCTAATCTGTGCTTTGACAAGACAGGTCAGTGTACAGCATTTCCCAAGTTTATCTGACCACACACTTTGTCAACAGATTCTATAACAGTACGCTCCAAAGTCATCAAGAGTTGAGCTTAACTTTTTATTAGTTTGTATTCTGGGAAGGAAGATTGGATTTGTTATCTCCAGCACATATGGCGATCGACCTCTTTGCTGACAGAAGAAATAGAGGAATCAAGTATTTTGTCTTAAGTACATATGTAAAACTCAAAATAAGAAAAACAATTCAAGTGAGAGTAAAAGGGAAAGTAACTAACATTTATAAAGGAACTCATCATTAGTATCCCAAGAAGGAAGTTCTTCTTAGGAAGTTCTATCATTTTAGAAAAGAGAAAACAAAGTTTCATTTACTAGCTGAAATAATGCAATATAAAATAAACTGGATAGAGGTCCAGTATTATATGGTATGTAAGAACATATATAAAGCTTAACATAGCAATAGATTAGTATATACAATATAGGCGTTGGAGTCAGAGACCATTTCCTTGCTACTAGAAATTTGTTTTTTTTTTTTTTTTTTCCTTCTTGTTAAATTCAAATACCCTTGGACAACTTTAAAAAAAAAAAAAAAAACCACTTACATTAATTTACATTAATTCAAATCATATCTCCCTTCCAAAATGCAGTATAGAAAATGAAATTACTGTTAAATGCTTAAGGTTCATCACACTTATCTTAAAAGTTAAATGTAGATTCCATGAAATTGTATTTTAAGTACTTTATAGTAAAATGAAACTCATTTTGACAAGCCCAGAAACCTTTACACAAATACTTAAGTAAAGCTCACTTAAACTGGCTGATAAACTTACACAAAAAGAAAAGCATGAAAACTGCAAAAGCAGTCAGTCTAAAGTTTTCTATGTGATTCATGAATTGCTTATGACACTTTAAGCTTTAGCTGACAATGTTTCCAATGGGTCTGAAGGCTTAAAGAGCAAAATTGTCTTCATCGTATGTAACTGTATAAAATAAATGATTTATTCCTTACTAACAAAAAGCAGTTTAAACAGAAAGCAATCACGTATCTGTAACATATAATGCAATACAATGTTCCCTAATTTAAAAAGCTTTAAGAGGGTTCTAAACACGTTTATATATTTAGGAATCATATCAACCATTTCCATCAAATATGTTCGTACGTCAATAAAACCTGTAATTTTCCTAT